TTAATAATACAAATATAATAATTATTTTGAGACAATAAGAATAATTTAATTTAACGCAACTCAATTTCCTATTGATGCAGGAAAATTAATTGTCGTGTTTCAATAAACAAAACAATTAGAAAACATGATAATTTGTGTGCAAGCAACAATTGGAAGGATTGGATGATTGTTCTTCTTAGTAATAAATAAATTAAAAGGTATAATTCAAAAATCAAGATTCGATCAACGATATAATGGTTTTTTATTTTTAATCAAAAGAATAGAGAATTGCATTATTTTCAACTAAAATATGAAATCAAAACCACTACACCTAATCTTCGCACAAAAATACATGAAAAAATTATCCATTTTTCATCCCCACTCGAGAAGTGGATTCATTGTCATCCCAAGAGATGATTGATTTTGCATGATCTTGGACACCAAATCGTTTAAATTTGCAATGAACTTAAAAAAATAGAGCAAAATTAGATAGCTAAAGAAGAAATACACACTTTCTTCCTTTGAAAACTAAAGAAGAAATATCATGGCCACCAGTAGATGAACCACCCATCCCTCTTCTTCTAGTGAAAAATCCATTCATGCATTACTATATTCATCGCATTTTTCTCTTTATCTTCAACCACTCTAATTGGGTTTCTCTCCTTTATCTTTTTCCTCGGTAATGATCATGTGTCCATGGAAAAAAGAGGTGGGTTAGGATGGTTTCTAACCTCTAATCCAAACATTGCCAATTGTCTCATTTGATTGACTCCCACTACCCCCTTTGGTTGGCAAAATAGGGAAAGGCACCAAAATTTTCTCCCTTAAATAGGAAAAGAGGATATTCTTTTGACGCGATCGAGCATTCTATTTTCAATGTTACTTATTTCTTTTTAATATGGTACTAGTAAAAATAAAAAATAAAAAGCATCCAGAAGGGTTTGCTTCCCCAATTCCCCTTTCCCTAAAGTGTCATCTATGACTAACTAGAACAAAGGATTGTTTGACTAAGTTGATGGTTGTTAATTACTTCCTAATCCTTGAGTTAAAGGTTGAAAACAACATTCTGTTGCCCGTTTAATGGGTTTACCATACACCAATCCTACAAATAGATATAGAATTAGAGAAAAATGATTTGCTTTACATAAATTAAGGTTATATATTTTAAGCAAGATTTTATGGGGGGAAGACCGGTCCAACTAAAATGAACCAATGAACCGAGGGGCAGGGTCGTTCAACCTAAGGGCAGGTCCCTAGGTTATTCCATAATCTATGATTAGTAAAGGAAGATGATACCATGTAAAGGTCCATCAATAGTACATGAATCATTTAGATCATATACTTATATTTTAAGCAAGATTTAATCAATTAATTAGATTGGGGGGCCAATGTTTGACAGGTCATTGTACCAAAAGAGATGCCATGTGGCATCGATAAATAATTTTTTAATAATTTATAGTTTTATACTTAATTTGATATACAATCGCTTTTTAGATGAATTATACTCTATATATATATATACATACAATGATATAACATTCCAAATTTGGGACTAATGTGAATGGAGGAATTGGGTCAATCTCATGCCCCCACTAAAACACCTTTTCCCATGGGAAAGGCGCCCTCCTCCACGTGCAATACTTGTAGGTTGGTGCAAACTTGAATATTCTAAATTATAGACCTTTGAGAAAAGAAAAAGGGTTTGGGGGTTGGTTTCTTTATCTTTGAATGTTCTTGGGGGCAGGCTTTACTACAGTTTTCCTCATGGAATTAATTTTTTTGTGTTCCGGTCATATGTTACTTTAGAATATGTTCCCAATCATGCCATGCCACAGCCTTAGTGAGAGCAAAAATTCAAAGTTATGTTCAATTTATGTGGCTGGGCACCAAATTTTCCCAGATTCAGATATGCCCCATGATCTAATCTAACATAATAAGAAATAATTTAGTCATAGTTTGCCCTGATAATTAATCTCATTTTACAAAAAAACAAAGATTGCTTGCTCTTGAAGGCATCCCATATAATTTACTCGGCTAACAAGATGCCCATATTAGGTTGGCTTGATTTTTGTTCCTTTAGCAATTAATTGACCTTACTCGGTTACATCAAAGTAAAGTTAATTATAAATTAGTTTTGAAATTCACGTCAGAAAATCATAAATGCTTTAATTGTTTAGGTTAAAAAAAATAATTATCAATAAGAAAACACTAGTATAATAAGAATAGATATGTACTACACTTAATCTTAGTTAAAAGTTGGAGAAAGGTATACAAGAAGATATTAAGGCCCAACATCTCCTGCTTCATTTTTTTATGTGGGTTTGGAGTTCTTAATGGAGAGAGTTCCACAAGATGGATAATGGAAGGTGTTTTGGAGAAAATAAGGGATGTGTCCAAAAATTTCTTCTCTTGCGGTTGGGAATTATAGAAGACGCCAATGAAGTGTAGCATGAGGTAGAAAGCAAAAACCCAATTTAACACGCCTTATGGCATCCCATTCCTCACATTTTCATATCTCTTTGTTTACCACATTGACAAAACAGTCAATAGCTGATTTTGGATTCTTCCCTAGTGTTTGACATCATCTTTTCCTCCTCCTCCTTCCCCCTTCCTCCAAAAAGAAATCTTGAATTTTCAATTTTTTTTTGCCAATATTGCCCTTCTTTTTCTTCTCCTAATTATCGAACTAAATGACAATATTCTTTTCCTGCCAAACACTGCCTTACAAAATGGTGCAAAAAACTGTATGTGGTACAAATCCCTGGCCCATCACAATAAATTAGAATTATTGTTATATAGTCCCTTTCTTCTTTAGTTCTTTTCACCATTATCCCCCTTGTTACTGTGGTTTCGCTTTCACCCTTTATTTATTTATTTTTTTTTTTTCCTCTCATTTAATTCAGACTTTGAATTGGGACGATTCAAACCACAACAGAGGAAGTCATTTGGAACTTCTGTTTACAACAACTATCCATTGAAGGTAACACAACAATAAGATTTTGGTCCTAGAAATGGACAGAATGGGTCTAGTTTCGTACCATATATAGAAATATGTTTAAGGACGAAAGACAGGAAGATGGTATGGTCATGCATGCAGCTTTTGCTCCAAATCCTTACAAAATTGATTGTTATATAATTGTTATCATCATGTGCATAGCATTAGCATGAACTTAAGTACTTAACCACTAATCCACTAGTCATACAAAATTGGTTAGAGTTTGAAGACTAAGATTCTGTTATTATTATTATTTTTTTTATAAAGTTACCAACCCATTATATTATCTAATCCCTATACATAAAAGAAGTATAGGCAGATTAAATAGATATGAATTTAGTCTAATAGGCATAAAATTCTCGAGCAATTGGATTATTGCCCATTGATGGTTGCTCATGCCCTAATGCTTAGAGAATACATAAAGATCATGGAATGAAATGAATTTCAAATTGTTTATTGGAATAAAAAATGTGTTCCTAACTGAAACCAACCTTTTAACAAATGGGATGATTGAGTGGGGGCATCCACTCCACTAAGATCAATGCAATAGTCTATAATCATCAAGAGCTTTTGAGATTACTACAAAATAAAGCTAAAATAGTATGAGTATCAACCCTTGTTATGGTTAGTGTGTCCCAATCTTTCTTGAATTTTAAAAAATTATAAAAACCCATGAACCCAAATCATCTTAAAACCTAACACCATTTCTAATTCCACTTTTCATACATTTCACTACTATAATTGAGACTTTTAAGAGATATATAACAATTACTTCATTCGGTTAAATTTAACTATTTCAGTTTAACTTTTCCATAGTGTTTGATTTGATGATTTTATATAATAAATAAATAATAATTATAAATTTTTTAATTTAAATGAAAATATTCAACAAATATTACATAAAGAAAATAAAATATTTTTAATTATTATTTGTTTATTATATAAAAATAACTAGTCAAATTTTATGT